CCTCTTGCTTTTCTTCTAATGGTTTCATTTGTTCTTGATTTCTAATGAATTCTTCTTCCATGAGAAGATAATCTTTAATTCTTTCTAACTTCAGTAATTTCAAGCGGCATTGAGTGTGAGGTGTCACTGTAATTAAAAAATAAAGTTCTATTTTACTTGGAACTTTGCAATTAAGGAGAAAATATTAGCATTTTAATATTTTCTTTTGCAGTGTTGGGGATCAAACCCAGGGTCTCATGCTTGCTAGTCAAGCATTCTAACACTGTGCTGTATCCCCAGTCCAAGATTTTGTAAAAACAAAAAAACAAAAACAAAAACACTCACTTTAGCTGGGGGTGGTGGTGCACACCTATAATCTAAGTGACTAGGAGGCCAAGACAGAAGCATTGCAAGTTCAAGGCCAGCCTCAGCAACTTGAGACCCTGTCTCAAAAAATAAAAAGAACTAGAGATATAGCTCATTGGTAGAGCACTCCTGGGTTCAATCCCTGGTACCAAAAGAAAAGAAAACAACAACAAAATAAAATAAGCTCATTTCAGTTGGAAAAACTGTGGAAAAGTCAGTTTGCTAACCCCAAGCAAAGCAAGTACTGAGATGAAAATAGAAAAGGGATGCTGGCAGTTATAACCAAACATCTAAAAATGGGAACAAGGATAGGACCAAACGGCTAGCACAAAATGACACGTACTGACTGAACAGTGTATATATTTAAAGAAGAAAAAAGTTACAGATCCACTAGATAGTTGGTTTATTTTATGCTCATCCATTTTTAGGCTTCTACAATATCAGGGATATTAACCTTTCCATGCTTTGATTCTTTTGATTTTGTTTTGAAGTCTCATGCTACAGAGGAATTTCATCACTTACATAGACAAATCTGTCAGCCTTTCATAGTTTCTGGGTTTTCTAGCTTTCTTCAAAAGGCCTCTTCTTCCCTAAGGTTAAATATATCCCTGAATATTTCATTTATTTATTTCCCATGTATATCTATAAGCCATCTGGCAAGAGGCAAGTGGCCTAATTTCATTTTCTCTGGAAGGAAGATTAAAAAACCTCATCCATTTATATTAAATAACCCATCCTATTGCCTATAAAACTGAAATGTCACCTTTAACATTCATTATATATCCATGTTATCATAGTAGATTAATGGGTGATTTTACTATTTGACTCCCTTTGTTTTTAACTGAGCAAAATTTAAAAAAAATATAGTTTATTTCTTCTAAGTAGGGAAGGATGCTTTTAGGTGGACATGGTGGTGGTCTTTAAATTGAAGCCTGAAAAGATGAGAAGCAGACAGCCATGGGAAGGACATTTTAAGCAAAGGGAAGAGTAAGGGCAAAGACCCTGATATACAGAGAAGTTGAAAGACAAAAAGCAGGTAGTGTGACCAGTGAGCAAAGAGGAGTGGCAGGGTTGGACATAGAGAGGGAGACTGGATCAGGAAACTTGTTATTTTGTAAGCAGGAAGTCAATGAATTTTAAGTTCAGGCATTACATGATCCAAATTTTAATACAGTGACCTTTCATTTCATGAAATGTTTCTGAGTTACTCAAGTTTAAGTTGGGTTTTGTAATCTAAAACCATACTGTTATAGTTTGGATCTTTAATGTATCCTGAAAAGCTCCTGTGTTAGGGAATGCAGGGATATTCAGAGGTGATATGATTAGATTATGAAAGCTATAACCTCATTAGTGGATCAACCCATTTAATGGATTGATAATTTGAATGGACTATTGGTAACTACAGGCAAATAGGGTGAGGTTAAGGAGCTGTCCTCCACCACAATGCTTAGGCCCAGAGCCATGGAGTCAGTTAACCATAGACAGAAACCACAGAAGCTGTGAATTCAAAATAAACACTCCCTTCTCTAAGCTGTCTTGTCAGGTACTTCAGCCGCAGTGATGGAAAGCTGACCAACACACATACTTTTGATAAGCTAAAGGGGCTCGCTATTTAAAGAAATGAATTTTTTTAAGTGAGCAGACTTATATTATACTCGATTTTAAAATAAAGTATAACTGTAACTCAGAGGAATGGTAGAATGGGGTTAGGAGCACAGAGCTACAAGTTTAAAGACACTAAGCCACATGCACAGAGATGGGTTTTCCCCAGGAACTGGGAAGACAGGAAGGAGGAACCATGTCATTACCCAGTGGGAGTTTGCTGGCAGCATCTGGTCCCTTTGTTTTCTTCTTCTTTTTCCCCACTCTGGTTGGTACAGGAGGTTCATATTTTTTTTTCTTATCCTTTAGTTTTTAGAAGAGCAAGAAAAAAGGTCATTTGGAAATCATAAAACATAAATGTATTCCTGTAGTACCATCAGGTGGTACAATTTCCTTATCTTTTAGGATACTATTTTAAAAACATCCTTAAAAAACAAACAACAACAAAAAAAACTAGAACTTCACATTCTTGCAATTTTAATAAGTAAAATAATTATAATAAGTAAATGTAACCTTTTTATAATGCACATTAATGACAATGAGTCAGACTATTCATGAAAAGTATATTTTATCTATAGACCAGGCTAGTTAAATAATTATTAGATCATTTTGTTTTTTAAAATTCTTGAATACCCAAAGAACTCAGTTGAGACCTATGCCATTTTCCATAATTTCATATCACAGTACATATCTGGTTTTTTATTTACCTTGTCATCCTTCTTGCCACCTCCAGGACCATGACCACCACTCTGACTTTGACCCTGAAAGGGAAAAAAAAAAAAAAAATAAGACATAGATATAAATTCAGAATATGATCAGTTCAAAAGAACATCCTTCTTACTGTCCTGATTCTAAAACACAAACACATCTTCTTATTTTAACATTTACAAACCCAGGATGTGCCTTGTAGCTAATGTGTGTATTTAGTGTAGTAGAGATTATTTGCAACTGATTACATCTTAGAAGCAAAAGTAACTCTATTAAGAAGTAGACAGAACTAAGGAGGCTGGGTTCTAAGATCATTCCCTCTTGAGCAGAAGGTATAGATAGAGCTTGACATTCTTTAATATAAAATTACCAGAGTGAGGCTACCAAGAGTGTATTTCAAGGAATCATCTTGTGGAAAGTGAATATAACAGACAATCATTTACACTGTATGTACCTTACACTACGATCCAGAAGAATTTCTTTTTTTTTTTTTTTTAAAGAGAGAGTGAGAGAGGAGAGAGAGAGAGAGAGAGAGAATTTTTGATATTTATTTTTAAGTTCTCGGCGGACACAACATCTTTGTTGGTATGTGGTGCTGAGGATCGAACCCGGGCCGCACGCATGCCAGGCGAGCGCGCTACCGCTTGAGCCACATCCTCAGCCCAGCCACATCCCCAGCCCATCCAGAAGAATTTCAACTGCACTTTATCTACTCCTCACCTTAAAACCTGGGGGCCACCAGGTAGGTCTTTCTGTTCAATCTGAAAAGCTGAATCCCCTTAAGATATTAAGAGCTTAATGTAACTAAAAAGCTTGTGAGATTTCTTATTTTAAAATAGACCCTTCATTTATAGGACAATGCTTAACACAGAGCAATGACTTAGAAATGAGTTAACAGTGAACTTACTGATTATAGAGGGGACTGCTTAGTTCCCTCAACTCACTTCCATATAGGTGACTCTAAATTAATACACTAGCAGTTTCACTATCAGAAAACTCTACCATGGTTACCTGATAGTTAATGTCAAATATACTGCACCATAAGCACAATAAATTTTGCAATTTACTCTGAAGAAAGTAATTAAGGACACAGAGAGAATCAGGGTAACACAATTTGTTTTGCTTAAACAGGCAGTTCAAATTATAAGTCTTTAACATTAAACTTGCTGATGGCTAGGGCAGCTAATGTTGGTGGGATGCTTACTAAGTGCCCAACTCTACTAGATATTTTCCCTTCAATCTCATTAATTACATATAATCCTCCAAGAAGGGTTCATTATCCCCTCTTTATAGACAGGAACTGCAATAAGCCTGAGAATAGGGCTGTGGAATTAGATGACTCTGGTCTGAATTCTGGTTCTATTACCATAGGCTCTGTGGCCTTAGGTAAGTCAGGTCACCTCTTTGAGTTTTGGTGTCTTTACTGAAGAGCAGGGGATGATACTAGCTCCTGTTGCAGAAAATGACAGACAACTTACTACATATACAATTTAAAATAAATTCTCACCAATATGTAGTGAATAAAGAAAATCAAGGTAACAGACAATCATTTACACTGTATGTACCTTACGCTATGATCCAGAAGAATTTTAACTGCACTTTATCTAGTCCTCATCTTAAAACTTTATGCCTTTCCTAGCAGTGGACCGCGGCCCCCTCCCTCCCAGCTCTGCCTGTCAAGATTTTGTCTGGCTACAAAATGTGGGCCTTAAAACAGCCCAGATTCTGTTCTGATTCAGTTTTATGTTCTCTCCTATCTCCACTCCTTCATTCCGGTTTTCATCCCAATCCATCATCATCCCCTGCCTCCTTGTGCCCCACTTCCCACACTCTGGTACTGGGGAATGAACCCAGGCCTCACTTGGGCAAGCCTTGTACTAGAGGGCTACATCCCCAGTATTCAGGCCATCATCTATTTGGATCATAGCCTCTGATATGAGAACCCTGGGTCCAGTTTCTTCTCTCACCAATATAGCTACTGCCTTTAAAAACAAACAGCTGGCCCTTTAATTCTCAAAATCATTTAGCGGTCCCTGGCCTTTATGGTATGATGCCCAAACTCTTTAGTTTGGCATGCCTGGCCCTTGCCAACCTGTCTATACTTAAACTTTCCAGGTTAATCAGAAAAAAATCAGAACATTTTCCTGAATGGGTCCCTCATTCCATCTCTGGGGCATTTTACATGTTTCTCAGTCTCAAATAACAAAAAGTTCACTGAATTTTGAATCCTTACTATATGCCAAGTAGTATGCTAAACATTCTTGGAATATTATCCCATTTAATTCTTACTAACACCGAGAGATTGGTACTATCATTACCCCCAATTTGCAAATAAAGAAACCAAGGCTTGGAGAGGGTAAGTGACTTACATATTGTCATAGAGCCTGCCAGAAACAGCCATGAATCACACCCAGGTTTGCTAGATACTAAAGCACAGCTGTTTCTTACTGCTCCAGAAAAGATAGGGCTGGTGTGTGGTAAGGAATAAGGAGAAACGCTGTAAAAAAACACCGGGCACAGGCTTAGAATTCCACCCGGAGGTCCTCACTGCGTGCTTTGGCCTTCTTGCCCTCCAAGGTTGAGGCCAAACGCAGTCCCCTCTCAGGTCCTTTGCACTGGCAGTCTTGGCTTCCCTCAGACACTTCCATGGCTACTCCCTCAATTTAGGCCTCTGCTCAAATTTCACCTCCTCCGAGGGTCTTTGTCTGACACCCTATCAAAAAACAGCCAACCCTCGCTGTCCTTTCCCTTCCTATAAAACAGAACAAGTGGTGACACCGGCCAGCCCGTCCCCGCAGGTACTCGGCGCGCCTTGGCCTCTGGACCGCGAGCGCCCTGCGGGGGGCCGTCAGCCCCCGGCCGCCCGGGCCCCGGGGTGCGCCACGCTCGGCCCTTCAGTGGGTCAACGCCGACACGCGGGCCGCCTTTCCTAGCAGTGGACCACGGCCCCCTCCCTCCCAGTCCGCGTGTCAAAGCGCCGTCCTTACGGCTCCCTCCAAGGCCCATCCAAACGGCTCCCCGCCCCGCTCACCCCTCGGCGGCTGCAACGAGTCCCTCCCTCCGCCTCCTCCTCCAACCTCTCCCTCCCAACGCTCGGAAAACGCCTGTCCCGGTACTGCAAGGAAGCGCCGTCGGCCCAGCCCGGTCGGCGGAGAGGCAACGCTGGCGAGGCGGCCCGCTCTTCTGTCCCCCGCGTGGGGACCCACGGCGCCGGGCAGAGGCAGCAGGCCCCCGGCCAGGCCCGCTGGTCAGCCCGGCCCGCGGTGGATCTGCGCGCCGTCTGCCGGAGGCTCCGCGAGCCTCGGCCCGCAGTGGAGAGCCGACCGACAGGAGGGGAGAGGGAGGACCGAGCTCCTCGGCATCCGCCTCGTTCTCTCGCCTCGGGCCGTTCCTCGGGTACTGTCTTACCGCGACCACCGGCTGAAACCCTTAGTCACTCACCATCTTGCCTCGGCTGCTCCGGCTGCTGCTGCCGGAAGTGCATTCACCACTCAGGAGAGGAAGTTGCTGGGAGACTACGGAAGCCGAAGGAGGCCAAACATCCTACGAATAAAGTTGCGCCCGAAGAGCAGGTGTTGGTGGGTTGTGTTATCGAAGTACCTTGCACATGTGTTGTGAACCTTGTATGTATTTTACCTTAAAAAATAAAAATAAAAAAAGAAAGAAAGAAAAAGTTAGATTTTACTGGGCTTTTGTCAATAACTTACGACAGTAATACCGACTGTCAAAGAACTGGGGCAATTGTGAAAATAAAAAAGTATGCAAAATAATTGGAACATGATTTGGTCAACAATAGACCTAATGTTTGACGGTGGTCCCATAAGATTTTATTGCCTAGTGACATCACAGCTGTCTTAGTTTGTGTAAATCCACTTATGAGGTATGCACAAAACCACTAATGATGATTTTGCAGAATGTGTCCCTGTGGTTAAGCAACATATGACCTACATGGTGTAGAATCTCCAAAACCGAACTTAGCTTCTTCTGCAGGATCTGTTCAACCTCACCTGTACTCTGTCCTGGCCAATGTCACCATTCAGAGACCTAAACCAGAAGCTTTTCATTCTCTTTCACCCATTCCAGCCAGCTCAGCAGTCCAGCCTTGTCAACCTCTGTCACATTTCCTCAACCTACTTTTCCTTCCTTCAATGCCTTCTTCAGACCTCTTGATCCTATCTGAATATGAATGCAGCAAAAAATTTCTGAGTATTGATTTTGCTCCAAGCTCTCCTCCAGGTTCTGGGGATTCTGCACATGCCAACACCCTAATGGATTTTATTAAAAAACAAACAAACAAACAACAACAACAACAACAACAACAAAAAACCCAAAAGGTAAAATATACGTGTGCCATGGAGGTGTCCTAGCTGGACACAGTGTTTATTGAACTGATTTGGTGGCCAAAATCATTCAAAAGATGAATCAGGTGTAAACAATGGAGATTGGTTTGGGGAGAGTACTGCTGGGGGCTGGAAGGCCGAAGTCCAGCTGTGAAAGAATATCCCTGAGCCTAGGGAAGTGGATGGGGTAGGGACAGGAGGCTAAGACCCAAGCCAAGTTCCAGCAATGTCACTTTGGGATCAGGAAACTTGTCTCCTCCTGTTGCCTCACCTGCGTGTGGGATTGTGAACAGCCATCTCACAGGCCGAGAATACCCGGAGAGGATGATGCACTTTCCAGGTTCTCTGTGGATTTTCATGAAAGTGGATGGAATGGTGGGTGAGAGGGTGAAGGCCAGAGGTGGACAGAGGCCTCATGCTGGGGCTAGGGCTCTCCCTGTTCACTTGCCCTTCTCTGATATCAGGGCACATCAGAACCAGTATGGATGCTGGTCAAAGGACAGCATCCCAGAGATGGTGATTCTGCAGGCCATGGACAGGGCCCTCGGCGTCTGCATTCTAAACGAATATCCCCAGGGATTCTGATTTGGTGGCTTGAGAGCCAGAGCTCCAGGGCAGAACTCTCTAAAGTAGGATGTACACACCCTGGTGGTCCAAGGACCCATTAGGGTATTGAAGGAATCCATCAGAATGTCTTTTCAAGGAATACTAATTTTTGATCACGAGGGGAGGGAGAAATAAGGGGAGGCTGGTGGGGGGGGGTAAGTTAAGTTACAGTTAAATAGGAGCAAGAAGTTCTGGGGTGCTATTACACCATAGGATGACTAAGAACAATTACATTCTGTAGTCAGACGCTGTGGTGCACATCTATAATCATAGCTACTTGGGAGGCTGAGGCAGGAGGATCATAAGTTCAAGGCCAATTTAGTAAGGGCAACTTAGTGAGACCCTTTCTCAAAATTAAAAATGAAAAAGACTGGGATGTAGCTCAGTGGTAGTGAAGTAGCACCCCCTTTCTCCACAGAAAAGCCCTCTTCACCATGGCTGATTTTAGGACTGTCAGAAAAAAAGAGTCCAATGTAGATAAACTTATTTTCTTGTCACCCTGTTTACTTGGCCACTGGCCGAGAAGATACCAGCACTCCAGGTACTGGACACCCCCTTACTAGTTTTTCACGAACGATCCAGTATAGCAGTTTGTAAATGTGCAAACAAGGCCTCTGGCCTKGAGCTGGGCTTCACAGAGATGTCTACATTCCTAAGATAAGTTACCAACCGGGCTCCATGGTAACAGCTGGCAGGGGAGGAAAGAAAGGGGAGAAGAAGCTCTCCCCTTCTCAGGTGCTGTCCTTGAAGGATTAACTTGCCCAAAACAGTGAAAGAAAAAGCTGCTTTTATGTGAACTTCTGCAGACTGTGAACTTCTGAGCCCCTCCCCTTACAGCTGGGTGTAAAACTCTGAAACTTCCTGAACTCGGGGTTCAGGGGATTAATTGATTACAGCAAAAGCTGTGCCCTCTGAACCTGGCTGCAACCAAATAAAACTGTTTCCTGCTATCTTCGGTGCCTTGCCTTGTTTGTCCCTACAATAGTAGAGCACCCCTGGGTTCCATCCCCAGCAACAAAACAAAAGCAAAAACCCAAGTAAGTACTGGATATTTCAAAAAGCTAGAAGGAAGGATTTGGAACGTTGGGGCTGGGGTTGTGGCTCAGTGGTAGAGCGCTTGCTTAGCATGCGTGAGGCACTGATTCCATCCTCAGCACCACATAAAAGTAAATAAACAAAATAAAGATATTGTGTCCACCTACAATTAAAAAATAAATATTAAAAAGGAAATGATAAGTGTGTAAGGAAACAGATATGTTTGACCTGACTTAAACATTACACAAAATGGATACATGCATTGAAACATCACATGCTATCCCATGGCTACCTACAAGTTTTGTGTTTTTATGTATCAGTTAAATAAATAATTGAAGATTAAGCCAGGCAGGTGGCACACACCTGTAATCCCTGTGGCTTGGGAGGCTGAGGCAGGAGGATTGTGAGTTCAAAGCCAGCCTCAGCAACTTAGTAAATTCCTGAGCAACTCAGTGAGACTCTGTCTCTAAATAAAATATTTTAAAAAAAGGGCTGGGGCCTGGGGTTGTAGTTCAGTGGCAGAGAACTTGCCTAGCACGTGTGAGGCCCTGGGTTTGATCCTCAGCACCACATAAAAATAAATAAATCAATAAAATGAAACCATGCTGTCTGTCTACAACTACAATAAAATAAAATAAAATAAAATAAAAGGAATGAAATGTGGCCAAGTGTGGTGGCGCACACGGATAATCCCAGTGACTCAGGAGGTTGAGGCAGAAGGATCACAAATTCAAAGCCAGCCTCAGCAATTTAGAGAGGACTTAAGCAACTTAGCAAGACCCTGTCTGAAAATAAAAAATAAGAAGTGGCTGGGGATGTGGCTCAGAGGTTAAGTGTCCCTAGGTTCAACATCTGGTATCCAAAAAAAAAAAAAAAAAGGAAAGAAACCAGACTCGCTCAGAGTGGTGACAGGTTTACTCTTGGCCTCTCTCCTGGGAATTGACCCACCCACAAAGAGGGAATTTCTGACAGCTTCTCCTTCCCGAGGCTGCTGCTCTACTTAAGGGCAGCTTCAAGAAGGCTCCTTTGTTTATCTCCAACAGAAGGTTGACTCTCAAACCTCTTCAGCCTCAAAGGCTGTTCATATGCCAACCCTGGAGTTCGACTGTGGGTCCCCACAGTGTTAAGCTGAGCTGTGAAAGGTAAGTGGGGGAAGTGGAGCACACAGGTCCCCACACAGGGGTCTCAGGAACCCCCAGGGTTGACCCAGGCACTGAACAATCGCCTGGGAGGTCCTGGAATGTGAGCTTACCAGGTCTTCTTAAGACAAACAGGAGATGAAAATAGAAGTTGGGCTTCATGCTGGGCTGGGAGTCAGCCCACGATGGACTGAACCCTCCAAAACTGTGATCCCCAAATACACTTTCCTGACTCTAAGTTGTTCTTGTCAGGTCTTTGGTCACAGTGACACGAAGCTGATCAACGGAGCTTCTCTGGAATACACAGGACCAGACTCTCCCTTCATCCTCTGGCTGCCCAACTCGTTCCCTGTCCTTCCCTTCTGAATCCGGTCACTGCTGCGGTCAGTTGGACCTCGACAGCAGTCTCCCCACGTCCTTGGGTCTTCGCCTGCCTCTCTAAACATTGCTCCACGGCCTCTCCCACCTAAGGCTCAGCCTTTCCCCTCTATTTGATTGTTTTTCTGAAGGCAAATTTTACACACACACACACAAAAAAAAACAATTAAAAAATAAGATACAAATGAATGAGGTGTGCGTATGCACGCATGTGTCACGCCCATGTGTCACAGCTGTGCAGACAAGGGCTGAGGGATTTCCAGCACCCAGAAATTTCTCTCATGGACCTTCCTAGTCTCAGCCTATCCAACCTAGAGCCCAGAGCTCAGGGATCGGGTCTTGTCATCATCATGTAGTTTTACTTGTTCTAGAATTTCATATGACTGACGGTGGTGCCCACATTTTGGTATCTAGCTGCTTTCATTCAGAATTTGCTTTGTTTTGCCTTTGTTTTGCAGTACTGGGGGTTGAACTCCGCTGTGCTCTACCACTGAACTACACCCCCAGTCCTTTTTATTTTTTAAATTTTGAGACAGGGTCTGACTAAGTTGATGACACCGGCCTCCAACTTGCCATCCTTCTGCCTCAGCCCCCTGAGCCACTGGGATTTATAGGCGTGTGCCACAGCATCCAGCCTCAAACACTTTCTGTGATTCGTCTGTGTTGTCACGTGTGTTGGTAATTCTCCCTCTTCCTCTTTCTACATTGGTGCTGGTGATTGAACCTGGGGCCTCCCATCCGGCTAAGTATGCATTTAACCACTGAACTACATTTTTAGTTTTGATTTATTTTAAGATACGGCCTCCCTAAATTGCTTACACTGGCCTTGAACTTGGGATCCTCCCACTTCAGCCTCTTCAGTAGCTGGGATTACAGATGCAGACCACCAAGCCCAGTTAGAAATTCATTTTTTATATTTATTTTTAGTTATAGGTGGATACAATATCTTTATTTTATTTTTATGTGGCGCTGAGGATCGAACCCAGTGCCTCAC